ATCCATCTGTGAGGACATCAAGACTGATGTACTCTATCTTCTAATCGAGCCAACAACAAGAAAAAAAGCGAGAGAGAGAAAGAGAAAAAAAGTGGTGGGAATACAAACAATAATGTAGAAAATACTACTATCGCTATATAACAATAAGAATAATACTGCCAATAACTAGTCTCTTTCCTCTCCCCACCTTCCAGCATACGATGCTACGGCGAACACAACATAATGCTCTGTAAAAAGTTCACCCTTCCAGTAATTATAATAACTACTATTATCATTATTATTGTTATTACCATTATCATTATCACTAATATTATTAAAGCTCTCATGTGACGCAGAAAATTCACTATATGGATAAGAATCTTGTCATACAAACACTAGGTAAAATAGTGTTGGCAGCAACGGAGGTAAAAGAGACAGTAAAAATCACATATATGTGACACTGAAACTAATTATGATGAACAGTGGCTAGCAGTGGAATCTAGAATGCGCGTTTTATCCGGTTTGAGACTCGTCAGCTAACTGATGTTGTTCCCATTGAGACTCAAACCCAAAACTGGTCGACTCAAACTCCAGAGCGTTACCCACTAGACCACCGAGTTGCGATAACCAATTCTTGTGTGACGGGTATAGATTTATTCATGTTGCTTGTATTATCCTATCGTTGATTGGACCGAATTGATCGGTCTCTATTGGCATACAGGCTACTGCGTGGATACCTTGATATTGCCTGTCTTTGGATCATATGCCGAAGATGGATAGTGGCTGGCTAGCAGTGGAATCCAGGACGTAGGTTTCGTTCCACTCTGGACTCATTCCCCAGATGCACCTATCTCTCGGTTGTATCTTATTGTCTATAATCCTGTTATTAGTACAGTTATTCAGATGTTAGATTTCTCAAACAAGCCCAGAATTCCCAGGAACCTTTCACAATCAATCACAGCATGCCAAATGCTCAGGAAAACCCATACGATGATATGTGTGACAGACTCACATAAGTTCAGTGGGTTTACAGCAGGGTGTAGGAAATACATGCCTCGACTTGACAATGAACCTCTTGATGACTTTCGTGATTCTTCCTGCTTCCGAGGGAACGAGAGACCCTGAATGATGAAGCTTAAGGTTATTGTCAAACATTCGATACATATAAATATTCGGACCATGTGGATTTCCCATTGGGAATTTAAAGATCTAGTCAGATATCACCTGGACAATATCGAGGCATTCACGAGGGAGCCCGTATGCCAATAGAGACCGATCAATTCGGTCCAATCAACGATGGGATAATACAAGCAAAAGTAATAAAACTATACCCATCATTCAAGAATTGGTTATCGTAACTCGATGGTCTAGTGGGTAACGCTCTGGCGTTTGAGTCTATCGGTTTTGAGTTCGATTCCCAGTAGAAACGATATCACTTAATGGGAAGTAAGTACATTCAGCTGACGTGTCTCAAATGGGACGAAAGGAACGTCCTGAATTCCACTGACAGTTGACAACATGAATACAGTATGCATAACGGTGAACAAATTTATGAACACCCAAATGAACAGACCCAAAGTTTCAAAATTTCGAAGAACAATTTTTGTATACAAACAGGAAAAAGGTGAAGTATACATATATGTACATACATACATAAACACGTAGAGTAGACAGCGTGAATGACACCCGCATGCAATTCCACAGATAGCATCAATATCCAGTTGATCAGAATAGACACAAGAAAAAGTTATCAACGCCACGATAGGCAGCAGCATCAGGGGCAGTAGTAACAGAAGGGAGAGCCGATAGGATCAAACACACCATGATAGGATTATTGTTAAGCTGTCCAAATGTCTGGTGTAAAGTATACGGATATACATAACGTTTCTTTATACATGGGTATTATGATAGTATCCCGTTTTCGTTCAGTGAAAGGAAATCAATGATGCATAAAAGATGCAACTGTTTTGGGTAATCAAACTGAAGATGGTGTAAACACTATTTGCGCTCATTAACGACACCAGCCCAAACAAACCGATGATGAATGAAACCATTCTTAATTATCCATCCATCCGAATCAACTTAGGACCAGACATTACAACGTAACGGTCTCAATTCCTACAGCTCATATCAGTACATCAAATTAAAGGGCAGTGAAGTGGAAGATGAAGAAAAGAAATCATCACTAAAAAGAATGGAACTCTGAAGCACAGTTCAACTAACCAAGAGCAAAGTTTCAGTTACCTAGCATCGAACCTAAATGGGACGTAGATGTCGGCCCTCCAACTTTCTTGAAGTTTCAATCATAGATATCTTAGGAGCATTGCTCCAGTTTGTTGGAATCATATGAGCAATGTTGAAGTCAGGTGAAGGGTACTAAGATAGGAAAGTCGATTAATGAGGTCGTGAAACTTCGACTGAGATACCAAGCCACCCCCTATCTCGACATGCCATATCTAAGGGATGTTGGATTAGGTTGTAACAGGATTCAAGGTGGTCAGATTAAGACGTGACACCAGTCAATGAAGTTCCTGACTGAGAGGTGTGGAGAAAGGTGTAAACTACCTAGTCGGAGTCGCAAGACGATGGGAATCAGTGGTTGAGGACTCTTGGTGATATGGTTGAAAATCGATGACAATGGCCCAGATATGTTCACTCTTTGACATCTTCTAAAGCCTGAATATTTTCACTAAACGTTATCTTCAAATTAATTATTCTTGACTTCCATATCGGTTTTATTCCATCCATCATTTCTTTGTATACTGTGCAGTATGGCAGCTTGAAGTGATCCACTTGTGTGCGAGGTTCTACTTTGATTCTGTCTGTTTGTCTATCTCTGGAAGATCGTAGATGATGATGACACTAAGACTGACGTCTAAAACTTTTCCCATGAATAATTAGGCTCAGAGAATAATACAATCACCATTTGAAATGTAAACTACTTCTACTTATCCTAGAATCCATAGACTAAATGAAACGAAGAGGATATCCTTAGTAATAAAAGCCTACACAGGAAATTAGATGGTGAGATTTCCACTTCAGAAAATTCTGAAATATAGGTATAATTACGAACACTATCTAACTATCCCAGCTTCCCAACTTATGTGCTGGTAAGACTTGTATATCAAAATGGCCAAACGAGCTACGCTGGTTAGAAAGATTGTTCCCTTGAGGTATTACCATACCAGTAACATATGTTGAATAGTGGTGAGACGGAAAGCAGTTACCGTTACAGTTTAAACTGCTACATTATGATGGGGGTCCGAAGGAGAAGTCGTACTGGTATCTGGATGCGATGTAACAGCAGTGAGGTGTCAAGCCGATTTTGTCTTCCAGGTAGGAATGGGGTAGGGGTTATAAGAAGCACACTCCTCAATGACCGAGAGTCTTTAGGTGCCGGCAGTGTTTCTCTGTTTGGAGTTAGTACGATCGAACCGCACAGCCATTTGGCTGTGACTGACCTCAAGTAGGTGTCCCATGGACATTACGGTCACATAAATGTTTTTTTTCTTCTCTTCCAAGAGATCCTACAACAGAAACAACTTCCATAGTGTGGGCAGTCGGGAAGTGTCAACCACCTGCAAGCTTCAACTTTATACAAGATCTTATCAAACGTAACCTATTCATCTAGTCTCTGTCTCCGCTTCACCTTCCAGTTTAGTAAGGCACTTAACAAGTTCATCATGCTATAAGAATCTTTCGGTAAAAAACTGTATCTATATATGTCGTGGATACTGAACTGAAACTAACTTCGAACACCGTCGTTAAGCAAACGAAATGGTAGATATCTCACAGTACCAATAACAACAGAAAGCGGAAAGTCTTAAGTTTAGGTCCTCTCAAAGCAACACCATTTAAAGGCTGTAATAAAGATCAATTTGCAGGAATCGACTACTATGTTTGACTGTGCTGACAACAAGCGAGAGATACACAGTACAGAATATCCGTACACAGCATATACACCAAAAAGTACACGAAAAGATATGACACATTGATATTATTGATTCATAGTGGCTGATAGTGGAAATTTAAGATGCACGTTTTGTCTACTTTGTAACTCATCAGATGAGTGCTGTTACCACGGGGACTCGAATCCATCACCTATCGCTTCAGACGCCAGAGAGCTATCTACCTACTGAGCAACTGAGTCCCGATAACCACGAAATTAATAATCAGTCACAATCAATCATTAGCATCAAGTTGAAATATCGAAGAATTCACGGAGGCGTCTACATCCAAACAGTGGTCAAGCGATTCGATATGCAAGAGACAAGTGGATCTATATCGCACACAGTATAAAGTTAATCAATGCAGCATATTAAAATCTCAGTCAATCGCCTTCAGATTCTAGAGAACAGAATGAATCAATGATTGTAGGTTAGGCAATAAATTACTCGGGAGGAACAAGTTCACATACTTATTCTAAAGGCAAGCAAAGACAAGGCAAAGTTGGCTTGGCTTGGTTTCCATTCAGGTAAGCCTAAGTTAGAGACTATAAAGCATGATAACTTTCGCAGGAGCAGGGTGTGGGGGACTGCAGAATTGTCTACCTGCTTGTCGTAAGGATAATTCAAATGGATTTGGGCCAGCTTCCCCTAGATAGGTTGATTCAAAATCACAAGAGATAACATAATCCATGAGAATACTATGACCAAGCCGATTAATACTATTCAATGCTTACAGTTTTATCATCATTATGCTTATAACTTAATATTGTTATTGTTGAGTAAATTGATTGTTTTAAGATAGAATAGCTGAGAAGACACTGAATTTACGCGACGACATGAGAATGGAACTAATGAATTTCGCTATATCATAGACATACAACAGACATATTGCGTGAGAATGTAATTTTAAGACAAGAGTAGAGAAAAGAAAAAAACCATGAGAAAATTAAAGCGATACAGAACATGAACACTACCACCACCCTATGACAAAACGAAAATAATTAGATTTTAACAAAATTTAACATATTCTCAACTAAACAATAATCTTGTTGAATTGATGAATTATACACTCACTTTAGCAGTTCCATCTTTGGAATAACTTTTCAGTCTATAAAACAGAAAGAAAACACAATAAAATCTGGTTAAACATGTGTAGATTTTATTTACAAAGCAGGTAATGAACAATATACTTGAAATAGTAATTTGCCTATTCTCTGGAACACTTGAGAAGTTTGAAAACAATCCAAGTTTATCGAATATTTAACATAACACCAGATAGTAACATTATAAAGCTTCATTTATCTATTGGATGAAGTTGATGAGAGTTACATTTCACAGATTAGTAAAATAATACCCCTGACAAGAATGTTCGAAGGCAAATCTAATGTATATGACAGGACTAAGGATACTGTTGGATGGCATAAAAATTTGCATAAGACATTGTTTATTGATCTAAACATCTTGTTTCAGGTTTTTATTCATCTCTTTGCACAAATAGAAAATAAAACGACTATCGTAAGGTGAAGCATCATACATCATCTCCCGTCTTGAAAAAAGCTAAAAGAAATGAACAGATTTCTCTAGATCATTTCATTAACAGTGAAACGACTGTTAAAGTCTGCTTTTTACTCTATTCAAACTATTAGGAGATTTATGATACTCTTATAAATAATGTACATTCGATCAGAACAACCTAAAAGCTACTGCTCTTGGTGCAGTAATGCTTATCATAGTTATGATGATTTGCTTGGCTGTGCCTAGCACCGGAATCCAGGATACACATTTCGCTTTCTTTGGGACTCGTCAACTGGATGGACCTGCACCCCAGTGCGGAATGATGTTGTTTCCACTGAGACTCGAGCATCGTACTCATCGCTTCAAACACCACAAAGTTATCCATTAGGCCACGGAAGCACGATAGCCATCTCTTGTATAACGGGTATTAGTTATTACTATTTATTGATATGCTTGTCATTCTCCGTTGTTTTAAAGAATCGAATTGTTCGATCTAACGTACCTCCGTGACATAGTGGATAACGCTGTGGTGTTTGAAGTGATGGGTACGAGATGCAAGTCTCAGTGGGAACAGCACTACACACTGGGGTGCAGATACATTCAGCTGACGAGTCCCGAACAGGACGAAACTCGCGTGCTGGATTACTCTGTTAGCCACAACTAAGTAAATTACCATAATTTATATTCAGACAATATCGAGGCATCCCGCAGAGGAGATCCAGTAAATAATAACGGAAAATTGCAAGCATATCAACAAATAGCTTATCATACTGTTATTATTAACATTATTTAATTGCGATGATGGATATATTCAGTTGGAAAATACTGATACAATGAATAGCTTTGTTAAAATATCACACCATCTAGAATGAAATGATGATTGTAGTTTTTGTTGTAAAAATTTTACAAAAAACCGATTGCCATGGTCTCAGCTGATTCAAACCATTAGTAAAGCCTAAAATTCTCCATATTTCTGCTTGTTTACCATAAAAACACGTGACAAAAAAGACTGTGATTCATTTACATTACGAATGAATTAAGATGCAGATATCACTCCAAGCAGTAGCTTGTTGTTGGAATCCCCCAGGCTTGCATGAAACACTTTTAACATGTCATTTCCGTGCCATCTTTTACGACATGGCAAGTAATTAATTCTTGCCCACATTTTCAAGGTCAACCGCTGATTGGTTAATGCTTACTTTTGCTGCATTGATGCTTCAAATTCTGGACAAGATTGTGTGTCATGTATATAAACACATGTGTTTTCGGGTTGATTGACTATTCATATCGTAGGAATAAGTCCTCCCATCCAGCCCACTCTTCTCTATTTCGTCCCAGGGATTGAAGTCAATGGATCTTGTATACGAAGTTAGCTTTCAGTCAAGTAGGCGGAATATATAACACTCATGCAGATGTTTATCGCTTTCATTGGGTATTTTTACTGATGATATGAACTGTAATGTCAATGTGTATCGAACTGCGTTATTATTTACGACATTAGACTATCCTAAACTTTAGTAATGATGAATAGTGGCTAGCAGTGTAATCCAGGATGCGAAATTCGTCCTGTCTGGGACTCGTTGTTCCCACTGAGACTCGAACTCGAGACCGATTGCTTCAAACGCCAGAGCGTTATCCACTAGGCCATCGAGCCACAATAGCCACTTCTTGTTCGACTTTAGTTAAGTTCCACCCACCTATTTTGTGTGCGGATCAGTGACACTGTAAAGAATAAGACTAGTGGGACAAATAACATTCATTCAGGAAACTATTGTGAATACTGGTAAAATATTGGAACCATGCATTCACGTGTGTGTGTGTGTGTGTGCAATAGCATCCATATTGTACTCACTGTCTATGTTAGTTGTCCTTCAGTTTCTGTCACTTTTCTCCTTATCTTATTCCAACTAGTCTTCGTTTCTTTGTTCAAAACTGATACCAATCAACAAACTACTTTTGAAAACGATGCAGTATTATATACTACTTACTACTACTTAGATGTATTTTTATTGGGAGTATACATCCAACAGTACCTAGTTGCCAGTAATCTCATTAAGCTGAGTAGGTTTTACATTAGTCAATCACCAGTTGAATGGTCGCTTCCTAAACCGTGGATAGCCGCCAGTCGAAAAAATCAGTTTACAAATGCATTCGTGCACTAGGCAGTTAACCATACTACTTTGATGTGAAAAACTCAGTGCCGAAACTAGGGGGGGGGAAGGGGGGAGGGGGCAAACCAGCATCCAACTGGCAGAAAGTAAAGAGCTACAGTCCACTAGCTCTAGACCTCCACATTCCCTGGTAAAGTAATGAGAATTACTTGTAAGCATAAGTTTAAGTAGTATATATATCCACGTCGAGAATGATAACAATCGGCTAGTTAGGAATTAGGCAAAAAGAATATAGAATAAAGCATCAGTATATAAAAGGGCGAGACTGTAAAGAATGATGTACAAAAGAGATTATTTACAAATGGATAGCTTGTTGCCATTACAATATAGGCAGTGCGTTGAGATGTCACTGCGTCAGTTACGTAAAGATCAGGTGCAGAGTTTCAGACAGGAGAGGAATGTCAGTTAGTGCGATTGTGAACCTCTTTCGACTGAGTTCACTTGGATATGTGTTAAGCACATCTTACCACAGACCGTTTACTATTATAATACTGGCTGAAGTAGGTTCAGGCCAGTAAGGCGGTACAGAGGGACAGGTTAGAAAATGACATCAATGTCGGAATGATAGAGCTAGAAAACTGACCAGTCAGTGCAAGCACTTAACCGATTAGTTGAAAAAAATTTTTAAAAAAAGCGCTAACAGTTAATAATTATCCTCGACAGTTCATCAAAATAAAATTCGTAAGAACACGTAGAAAACGAAATAATAACAGTAACACGAGTGTAGAATAATAACGATGTCATGAGTAGGAAGGAGTTCACAGTCTCCATTGTGTCATAAGGAAGGCACATGAGAAACTTTATGAGTGGGATCCTCAACAAAACTAGAATTAGTTATGGTGACATTGAAATCTACAAAGTCACTCAGAGATAAGGTTTAACGGTTGACTTAGAACCAATTTAGTGAAATAATCTAATCTATCAAATTGCATGTAATGACTGTGAGTCAGGTGAAGTACAGAGGTGAAATTAACTGGTATGGGTCAGTAAGGATAGTGGAACATAGGAATTTAGCTAAATGTAGAACGACAGACCCGAATAAGATCAGTAATCTGCAGAAAGCACTCGGCAATTTACTGCAATGCATGCATTAACATATATATATACACACACACACACACACAACAGGGTGGGATAACACCACTGCACTGGAGTCCAATATAATCGGCTGGCGAGACTGACAGCAGAATATTTGATCATTAAATCAATATGCAACACCTATACATACAAGAGATCCAGGGATGATACGCAAATAGATTTATCTTTATCTTGTAAATTAGTCAAGTTTTGAGCACGTTAGTTTTCAGACTTAAAAGTCAAATTATCGGTTATCAGTAAAAATAGCCTTTTATACACTATGAGCGGTGTTTTATTATTTTCTCTTGTGTTTTTCAATAAGATAGAAAAATAAGCATAAAACTCAATTAGGTCTAGGGGATAAAATCAATAATTTGACCGTTTCATTTCAGTCCATCACGTGTTCTGTTGAGGTAGCAGAAGAAGAAGAAACAAGATGTTCGTTTCTGGCTCATTCTTTTGCATATCCACATACACACACACACACATACGTTACACGTTGTGTTTACTAGTTAAGTGGACGAATGATTCAGGAGCAAAAAGTAAATAAGGCAGTATATAGCAGAAAGTAGGGAAGAGTTTAGGAAGGACACATTCACTTTCGTTTGATATTTTTTCCCGTATATTCAACTCTATATCAAGTCATGAAAGTTTATTTATCGCTATGAGTATTACTGTTGTGATTATTCCATCCAGTATTTCCTACTTCTTAAATCATCAATTTGTTTAACTTTTAGAAATGAATATGATTAAACTAAAATTATTACTTGGTCACTTTTATTGCTTTTAATATTAGTAGTATGTTTCTGTAGGAGATAGTTTGATTGAAATCTGTACTTTTGAACGATCTTGCAGTATGAAATTTTTTTTAAAAACAGATTTTAGAAAGTTGTAGTCGATTATCAATAATGTTGATACATAAGACGATTTACAACAACTAAAGACCTCAGTGCTTGCAAGAACTGGCGCGGAATCACTCTCCTGTCCACCCCAAGTAAAATATTAAGCCGCATCATCCTGGAGAGGCTTAAAGATGCACTGGATTCAAAACTACGACCAGAACAGGCAGGCTTCAGGAAGTACAAATCATGTGCAGACCAAATTGCAACGCTTCGTATCATCATAGAACAGAGCATAGAATGGCAATCACCTCTCCACCTCAACTTCATCGACTTTGAGAAGGCCTTTGACAGCGTCGACCGAGAAGTAATTTGGAAACTGCTTCAATACTACGGAGTACCGCAAACCTTTATCCGCCTCATTCAACAACTATATGAAGATGCTACATGCCAAGTAATCCACAATGGGAAGCTCAGTGATGCCTTTGAAGTGAAGACAGGAGTGA